CAAGTGATCCGCTTAGGTGTCCGTTGGTACTCCCGTGCCCAGCTGCGACAGTACAGAGACAAGTGCTGCAACCTCAGCCTCAGAAGGCACCATGACTAGGGGCTCAGACCTCTCAGAGGTGAAGGTCTTAATCAGGCCACCAGCTGCCGAGGACAGCAGAGGTGGTAGCCAGTAATGAGAGGAATCTACGATGAATGATAGAGGAGGAAGATGAGTATTGATTGCAGTGTCTGAGGCTAAAACTCATCTCTCTTTTTTTTTTTGTCTTTTTTCGTGACCAGTAACGGGATCGCAACCCTCGGTGTTGTGCCTGTACCATGACCAGCAATGGGATCGCAACCCTCGGTGTTGCGCCCGCACTGCGCTCAACCAGTGAGCGGACTGGTCTCCATATGGGATCCGAACCCTCGGCGGGAGCGCCACCGCACTCCCAAGCGCTGCACTCTACCGAGTGCGCCACCGGGCCGGCCCCTAAAACTCATCTCACTAGCCTTCCTCTTTTTAGTTTCCCAGGAGTAGAGGCCCGTTGGAATTGCGGGTGAACCCCTTCCCAAACACATACAGAGAAGTGAATTCAGGCAGCGCACATGGTAGACAGTGAGGGGAATGGAGTTGTGTCTACCACATCCCCTTCAAGGAAGGAATTGTTGCCCCTGCTGCTGAGACTGTTAGTGAACAGCCTTCAACTGTTGGTCTCTTCAGGGCTTACCTTAGATGGAGAGAGATGCCTCGCCCAAAGTCATACCTTTCCTGGGCTGGCCCACATGCAAAGACTGATCAAGGCAGGGTGTAAAGGCCCATTGTGGGACAACTCCAGTGGGGTATTTTAGCTCCAGAGCTCTTCATTGGCTTGGCAGAGGGTCTCAGGTCTGCCCTGCAGCTCGGTTTCTTCCTCTGTCCAATCCTGCTTCCTCCCTCTTCCTGCCACAGGCACCAATCCCAAACTCCGTAATAAATATCCTACACACTAAACTCCATCTTGGAGCCTGCTTCCTGAAGAAGTCAACCTGTGCCACCCTCCAGCTCTCTTGAGGACAGGTATTCTGCTTTGTTCAGTTCTAGATTTCTAACAGCTAGAACAATACCTTGACTATCAGAGGAGCATAATAATTATTGGTTGAATAAATGAATAAACTCATAGAGTTCTCTTGGGCAATCTATCCCCATAAATCTATTGCAAATGCACATTCTCTCTTCCAGGTTTTGCACCTCAGGAATCAGACCTCTGAATTTACTCTTTGGGTCCTGGTGATGGGCTTAAGAAACAGGACAGTCTCTCCCTCCACCCTTACCTTTGGTATTGAGGCTGCAGTAGACACAGCATAACCACAAATCTCTGAAAAGAACTGGTATACAAGTCACATCTTATTAGACAAGCTGTTCAGCTAGGCCAAGAGTAGGTAGCAATAAACACCCTGGTTTTCATGGGCAAGGGAAGGAGCAGCTGAAGTTGTTGGTGACTTGCAGGACCAGAGGCCCTAGCCCACTATGTCCCACTGGACAGAGACCCATGGCCTTGGGCTGAAAATGCCAGTGGAGAGGAAGAGCTGTATTGGAACATAGGAGAAGGCCCTGAGAACATCAGTGTGATAGTTAAAATATGTGCTACTTATAGCCCCCACCTCACTGGAGAGGGCGGAACAATGAGGACCTTCAGGTGCTGAGCAGGGAGATGCTGGGAGGTGCGAATGGCTTTTCATATGAAAGGTTTGGCAGGAAGGAGACTGTCCAGGCAGGGGAGGCAGCTGACACCTGTCCAGCCAGACAGGCTGAGGAGAGGAGGGGAGGGACTGTCTCACGGAGAAGCATGGTGAGCTTTCTCTCTGCCATGTCCCGGGAACCTCTGTCCCCCATGAAGACTTCAGTACAGCGACTCACGAAGAGTTTGGTAGTTGGATTTGTTTTTGCTAAGTGAGAGGAACATGAAGTTCTGCCTGCAGAGGAGGGGCAGGAGCAGGGACGGCCCTGTGGGTCCCAGGCATATTCTGCGGCTTTTCCGCTGAGTTAGCTGCAGTCACTGCACATTATTTCAGTAGAGGTTGCCTGGCTTCCTGTGGGCTACTCCTTCAGAGAAATACGGCCTGTTAGAAGAAGTGCAGAGGTGAGGATTCCCACATGTCACCACCACCTCTACTGCAAGGGCTCTGGCTGCTTCAGAGGAGCTCTGCCTTCAGCACAATTGGTAGATTGTGACAGGGCCTGGTGCCTCCCTCTCCTGCCCTGCTGCTCCATAGGCTGCCCACCAGCCTGAGCCACTCTCGGCAGGTGCCCCTTCTCCATCCCAAGTTGTGGAAGATGCTCCAGTACGAAAGGTTCAGTTGTATTAGTCTGTTTTTGTTGCTTAAAACAAAATACCTGGAACTGGGTGATTTATTGTTTACAGTTTCTGAGGCTGGGAAGTCCAAAGTCCATGGTGGTGGCAACAGTGACCCAGTGGTCTCACATTGCAAGATGGTGAAAGGGGGGGAGGGAGGGAGGGGGAGAGGGGAGAGGGAGAGGGAGAGTTGGAGAGGGAGAGAGAGAGGAGAGAGACTCTCTTCTTTTAAAGCCCTCAGAACCACGCCCCTGACCACCATTTTTAATCCATTTGCTACTGCATGGTCCTATAATCCAATCACCTCTTCAAGGCCCCACCTTTCAATAACCATAATAGGATTTCCTACCCTCTTAGCAGTCACAGTGGGGGCCAAGTTTCTAATACATAAAACTTGGGGGACACAATTCAAGCTTCAATGAGTTTTGGGGGGACAATTCAATCCACTATAGGTCATAATCTAGATTGTGGATTTTGATTGTTAAAGTGATCTTTTACAGACCTGCCCTGGGGACCCTCCCCTCACTCCTTCCGCCATGGAAGAGCAGCTTGCTGCAGGGTGAGGGCTGAGGCTGCTCCAGGGAGCAACAGAGCAGAGTCAGACTGGGAATTGGAGGAAGACTGGGCCTGAGGCGTGTGTTGCTGGCTGTGCTGCTGGTGGAGATAAATGCACGTGTTCATTGAGACGAATGCCCCAGTGCTGGCCATGGTCTCTGGTCATACCTGTGTGTCTCGTTCCTGAGGCCTCTGCAATTTCTGTGATTGATTTTTTTTTTTACTGACTTCACCACCCCTTGTAGCTTAGATTTTGGCCTCTATGGTGTGCATGCTAATTCCTCTAATCAACCTTTTTTTCAGATTCTAAAACTTTACTTTTTCTGGCAGAGAGGGATGTCTAATTCATTTTCTTTGGCTTTCTTGTTTTAGGTCTTCCTTTACTTCACTTGGGTTTTTAGTGGCAGCTCTAAGCACTCATGTTCAGTTGTCCAGGTGTAATTAGAACTTTTTTGATAAACTCTAATGTGCCGCACTCCATTCATTCCTAGAAGAAACCCTTTGTGATCCTGCTTTTTTAAAAATAAGACAATGCTATGTTCCACTTTGGTAATATTTTATTTGGGACTTTATACATGAAATTGTGCTACAGTACTATGCCATTTTATATAAGGGACTTGAGCATCCATGGATTTTGGTATCTGTGGGGGGTCCTGGAACCAATCCCCTGCAGATACCAAGGGATGGATGGCTGTATAATTTTCATTTCTCTTGTTGTTTTTTCTGACTTTTTGTGTCAAAATTTTACTAGCCCCGTAAGAGGATTTTTGTATCTGTTGATTTTTCTGAAAATTATTTTGTCATCTCTGAATTACAGTGAAGCCTGGTAGAGCATGGGTGGGAATGCACCCACAGAGTGGGAAGGATGGGAGATCTTAACATGTGGAAAGTTGTTAATAATTTTAGAAGCCTTACTTGCCAGAGAAGGCAAAGAAAACCTCAGGACATGAACTAATACCATAGATACTAGAGTAAGAGATTGGTTGGGGGGCTGAGCTCTGTGAAACCCTCAGGATTTTCCCTTGCCTTGTTCCAGGGTGGTGGAGATGAGCAGACGAGACCCGCTCAGTCTCTTGGAACTTGCAGCGCAGAGCCTGCTGAGTGATGAGGACTCAGCTGTGCGTGCCCTGGCAGAGCTCCCTGTGGGCCTCTTCCCAGCACTGTCCACTGCGGCCTTTGATGGGGGCCACACGAAGATGGTGACAGCGATAGTACAGGCCTGGCCCTTCCCCTGCCTCCATCTGGGATCACTACGGGATCAGTCGATAACTCAAGACCTGTTGGAAGCTGTGCTAGATGGGCTGTGGTTTGTTTCTCCCAACACTGCTTGCCCTAGGTAGTTGAAGAGATGGGGTGCTGGTGGGGCTCTGTGAATTGAGGGGGAGGGAGCTGAATTCAGGGATATGGGTCCAAAGGATGTGCCTGAATCCGCTGGTGGCACAGCATCACAATGAGGCCATTGCTTAGAGTCCCTCAGGAAAAAAAGATCCAGTGTAGCTCAGGGCTGATTCTGCTGCTGAGGTGGTTGAGAGTGTGGTTGAAGCTCCGGGGTGGTATCCTGAGACTGTACAAGAAATGGGGACTGAGGAGGACCTGAGGGGGGAATGAGAATGGGGGAGTGCTACCCGGAAGGCATGGCAGATGGGTGGGTAGGGCTGATGGCTGGCATGGTGGCTCCTTCCTGGGGTCTACTGCTGCTGGTCTCATACCAGCACTGCCTTGACAGTCAGTGTCTCAGATCTGCTCCTCATTCCCCACAGGAGATCAAAGCTAAAGGTGCTGGATTTTACCCATGACTTTGAGCACTCCAACTGGGAGGAATGCTCAGAGACCTCGTCCGCACCATTTGTCATCACACACATGCTAGAAGATCCAGAGGCAGACCAGCTCATGCCCACCTCCAGGGAACAGCCTCAGCGTGACCGAGAACCTGTGGAAATACACACAGACCTGTTCTTAGGTGGTTTGTTTGGTTTCTTCCACCTGTCTGGGTTCTCCTCTTACATATTGCAGACAGTTGAGAAGAGCCACGGGTGTCTGCGCCTCCACTGCCGGACACTGGTCATTAACCAGGTGCCATTCCGCAGCCTCATCGAGATTCTGGGCATGCTGGACCTGGAGGCCATCCGAGAGGTGCGGCTACATCACAGGAATAGGTTCTGCTTCCTGTCAGACCTGATCCAGTTCTTTACCCAGGTAGGGCAGATGCGCAACCTGGGCAATCTCATCATGAGTGATATCCCGTGGGACTTTCCTACTGACTGTTTCTCCCTGCTGAGTCCCCTGGGCCACCTCCGAAAGCTGCACCTCATCTTTGGCTGTCTCTCAGGACAACTACATAGGATACTCAGGTGAGTGCGTGAAAAGTCCTTCTGAAGATACAAAGACCAGGATCCCAGAATGTTCCTCTGGTGTCACATCAAGGCTGAGAAAAGCCCAGATTTCCCTTACCCAACTTCCTGCATTGTCACTGATGGACATAGACTCCAAGGCTGGGGTCTTGGGCCAGCCAGCGGCTGTTCTATAACAGTCATTATAGAGGAAAAAGGTACCTGTCTGAAACTGGCATCTCATCCACTCATCCATTCACCTAAGCACTTAGTCCGTACCAAGCATAGAACTAAGAATGGGAGGTAAGACTCTATAACAGTCATTATAGAGGAAAAAGGTACCTGTCTGAAACTGGCATCTCATCCACTCATGCATTCACCTAAGCACTTAGTCCGTACCAAGCATAGAACTAAGAATGGGAGGTAAGACTGAAAATCAGAAAGGGTCCCAGCTTTCTGGAGCTTACATGGAGAAGAGTGAATAGGGATGGTAAGTTGTGAGGGTAGTATTTGGGGGGAGTTAATTGCCCCACAACATCTAAGCCCAGTTGACTTGGTCAACTCCTTCTCTCATTTATGTCTCACAGACTTCTCTGTGGCATTCCCTGGAATAGGGGGCTCTCCTGGGGCCTGGTCATTGGGTGAATAGAAGAATGGGTAGCCACCTTCTTCTCTCCAGTAAAATCTTAGCCCTCACCACATGTAGGGGCTGTATGTAAATTTCATCAATTCCTACAACGTCTTATGGAGCATGAGTGATGATTGTGTTTACGTGGCTTCATTAGGAAGCTGAAACTAAGAGATGGGTATGCATGACCATTCACAGAAATTTGGGAGAGGTCTGGTGGGAATAGGAAAATAATTGTCTCCAAGCTCTCTGTTCTTGACCCATACAGAAGACTGGCTCCCAACTTTTGTATCTAGATTGAGAATAGGGGCAGTGCAAATTTCCCAAGCCAGATTTATGGTCTTTCCCAAGTGCATCTAACTCTCACATGCACGTCTGGAGAGCCGTGTTGTCCGCCCCCCCAACTTCCAAGGAGTAACTGTATCTGTGTCTTCACAGCGGCCTGAAGAAACCACTGGAGACCCTGGTGATCAATGGATGTAGACTTACTGAGAATGATATCACCTACTTGTCCCAGAGCATTCATGCCACCTGCCTGAAGGAGTTGGTTCTGTGTAGCAATAACCTGTCCCAAACGGTTCCCGGGCCCCTAGAGGTTCTGCTGGGTGAGGTATCAGGCACCCTGCAGCACCTGAACTTGAGAAGCTGCAAGTTGAAGGAAGCCCAACTCAGAGCCCTCCTGCCTGTGCTGTGCTGCTGCTCCTGTCTCCACTCCCTTGTCTTCTACGACAACGTCATTTCCACCTCAGGCATCATGAACATGCTTCAACACTTAGCAGGTCTGAAGGAACTGAAGCGTGTGCAGTACCCTGTCCCTGCTGAATGCGTTGTGTACTTGGATGAATATAGGTGGGAGAACCTCAACAGAGTGGAGCTTGCCCGTGTGCACACCAAGTTGCAGGAGATGTTGCAAATGCTACAGCGGGCTGATGTGGAATTGACTAATTCCACCTCAATGGCCTAACTTATGAAAACACACAGTTGGCCTGATGGGAAAGAGGAACGGCAGGTCTGGGAGCTGTGTCAATGAATTTAGTGCCATGAGAACAGAATACCAATATGGAAAGTTACTGGGGTTGCTACACCTCTTGTGGGGGTGAGGGTCAGGGAACAAAGTTTCTCTGTGAACGTTACCAGTGACTGACAGGTGAGTGTTGAGAAGCTTCTAGACATCAGGAGAGCTAAGGAGAGGTCCCCCCAAGCAGAGAAATGAGAGGTAAAGTGAGGAGGTGTCAGGGAGGTGGATGAAGAATGTGTCAAACCTTTGATGGTGAAAATGGAGAGAAGTGGGATCCTGACCTGGAGAAGAAGCAACTGGGATGGAACAAAGACCATTAAGGTGGGGGGCAGGGTAATTAAGTGGAATTGATTCAGTGGTTTTTGCTTCATAATCAGATCTGATACCTAAATGCATGTCTCCTTCCCACTCTGACCCCATCCTGCACTTCATCTTGAGAACTACCCTTGGTAGTTTTGCTTCCATTCTTTCCAATAATTTATCTGTGGATAATTTTGTGTTTCTTATATCTACAATAACTGCAGTTTTATTTACTCATTTCTAATCCTATGTCTCATATAATTTTCATTCCTTAGTGCCCTGGCTAGGGTCTCTGATACAGTGTTGACTAGAATGAGTAAGAATGGGTGTCCTTGTTGCTTTCCTGACTTTGTAAGATATTCCTCCAATGTTTCCCAATTTAGAATGATGCATTCTCATTCAGCATGATGTTTCAGTTTGTCCCACTTTTGCTATTTTTTCCCATTTACGTAGTTGCTAAAACTTAAGTAGCATTCCCCTATGAAGCTACCTGGGCTTGGTGCTTCCTACAGGGTACCTGACTAGTCATTTAAATAAACCATTTTAAGTTTACCATTCCATGTCATTGATTACGTTCACAATATTCTGCAACCATTACCATTATGTATTTCCAAAACTTTCTCATCACCCCAAACAGAAAATCTGTACCCTTAAGCGAAACTCTGTATTCCCTACCCCCACCCTCTGATAAACTCCTATCTACTTTCCGTCTCTATGAATTTGTCTATTCTAGATATTTGGTGTAAGGGAAATCATACAATATATGGTTGTTATGGGTTGAATTGTGTTCTCTAAAAGAGATATCTTGACACCAGTACCTAAGAATGTGACCTATTTGGAAATATGGACTGGACAGAAATAAGTTAAAATACAGTCACAGTAGGCCCTAAACTATTATGACTGGTGTCCTTATAAAAAGGGGAGATTTGTACACAGATATAGACACTCAGAGGAAAGACGGCATGAAGAGATACAGGGAGAAGATAGCCATCTACAAGCCAGGGAACACCTGATGCTATCAGAAACTGGAAGATAGGCCTGGAACAGGTCCTGCCTTCAGAGAGAGCACGGCCCTGCTGACACCTTGATTTTAGACTTCTGGACATCAAAACTGTGAGACAATAAATGTGTATTGTTTTAAGCCAACCACTTAATGGTACTTTTTAATGGCAGCCCTAGGAAACTAATACAGTGGTCTTTTGTGACTGCTTAGCATCCTTTCAACGTGTATCCATGTTGTATCATGTATCAGAACTTGACTCCTTTTTACGTGGTGTGTGTGCCATATTTTGTTTCAGCATTCATCTGCTGATGGGCACTTGGATTCTTTCCCCCTTGGCTATGGTGAATAATGCTATGGAGAACAACAGCATACATGAGTCTGTTTGAGTCTCTTTCAGTTCTCTGGCATTTAGCTAGGAGTGGAATTGGCTGGGTCATATGGTAATTTTATGTTGAACTTTCTGAGAAACCACCAAACTGTTTACCATGGCAACTGCACCATTTTACATTCCCACCAGCAGTGCATGAGTGTTAGTTTCTCCACATCTTCACCAACACTTCTTATTCCCATTTTGTTTTTATTATAGCCATTCTAGTAGGTGTCAAGTGTTATCTCATGTAGTTTTGATTTACGTTTACCTAATGACTAATGAGGTTGAACGTCTTTTCATGTGCTTATTGACTGTATATCTTCTTTGGAGAAATGTCTATTCAAGGCCTTATTACAACTGGGTGTTTGTGTTTTTGTTGTTGAGTTGTAGGACTTTTTATATGTTCTGGACATTAAACCCTTGTCAGGTTTAAGATTTGCAAATATTTTTTCTAATTCTATGGGTTATTTTTCACTCTCTTGATAGTGTCCACTGATGCATAAAAGTTTTAAATTTTGTTGAAGTTCAACTTAATCTGTTTTTTTCTTGTGTTGCCTGTGCTTTGGATGTCATATTTAAAAAAACATTGCCAAGTTGCAAGGTTATGAAGATTTGTGCCTATGTTTTCTTCTAAAAGTTTTATAATTTTAGCCTTATATTTAGGTCTTCAATCCATTTCGAGTTCATTTTTGTTATGTTATAAAGTAAGAAGAGTCCAACTTCATTTTTTGTATGGGGATATCCTGTTTTCCCAACTTGTCGAAGAGACTATTCTTTCCCCATTGAATGGTCTTGGCACCCTTGTTGAAAATCAAATGACCTTAGATGTGAAGGTTTATTCCAGGGCTTTCTCTTTATTCCATTGGTCTGTGTCCACCTTAGGTCAGTACCATACTGTTTTGTTTTGATATTTGTAAATTTTGAAATTGGGATGTATGAGTCCTCCAAAAAAAATTTTTTTTTCACAATTGGTTTGGCTGTTCAGGACCCCTTGAAATTTTATATGAATTTTAGGATGGATTTTTCCATCTGTTGCGAAAAAAGAAAAAGCCATTGGGATTTTGATAAAGATTGCACTGAATCTATAAATAACTTTGGGTAGTATGTTAATTTCCCACGGCTGCCATAACAAAGTACCACAAACTGGGTGGCTTAAAACAACAGACATTTATTCTTAAAGTTTTGGAGGCTTAGAAGTGTGAAATCAAGGTGTTGGCAGGGCCTCTGAAATTTCTAATATAAGATCCTTCCTTGCCTATTTCACATTTTGGGCAACCACAGACATTCTTTGGCTTGTGGCAGCATAACTCCAACTTCTGCCTCCAGTTTCACATGCCTGTCTTACCTCTGTGTTTGGGTCCAAATTAGTCTCCTCTTATAAGAACACCAGTCATATTGGATTAGGGGCCACCCTAATCAAGCATGACCTTATCTTACAAAGACCCATATTTCCATATCTGCAAAGACCATATTTCGAAATAATGTCACCTTCACACGTACTAGAAGTTAGAATGTGAACATATGTTTGGAGGCATAATTCAGCCCCTAACAGGTAATATTGTCATTTTAATATTAAGTCTTCCAATCCGTGAACATAGGATGTCGTTTTTTTCACTTAGGTATTCTTTCATTTCTTTATTTTGTTGTTATCAGTATAGAAGTCTTCACCTCTGTGATTAAATTTATTCCTAAGTATTTTATCCTTAATGCTGTTGTAAATGGAGTTTTCTTAATATCCTTTTTGTATGGTTCTTTGATAGTATGTAGAAATACAACTGACTTATTTTTGTATGTTGATTTTTTTTTTTAAAGATGACTGGGGGCTGGCCCCGTGGCTCACTCAGGAGAGTACGGCGCTCATAGCGCC